TATGAATATGAAGCTGTATTTCACTGAGTCCTTCGGATCTTTCATCCTTCAGCTTATCAGAGTCCTTCCAGTTTGAGTTTCAGCAACTGCATTAATCTCACAGTTTTTGTCACCAACAGGGAGTTGGTTGGGTGTACAGCTTTACCCTTAGGCTCTATCAAAAGGCAAAATGCAAATTCCAAAAGCTACGAAACGATATTTTTTGCTGTTTCTCCATCAAATTGATGCAGCTTAAATTTCACTCCAAACGCTATATGAGTTATGAAATAGCTCTAACAAGCATGCTACCATATACATTCACCATAAACAAACTTCAACCATGATGACTTAGACTATGATCAATGCTAAACACCCTCATGGCATTCAACATCACAGACAGGAGATCAGCTAGATAAAGAGGCTATGGCTATGACATTCATTCTAACAACAACCCATTTCTATCAGAGAAAATGACCCTCATAACTGCTTTATTTTATAAATATAAAGAATGCTACCAGATATATTTCACCAAGATGCAAAGTATTTACAAAACCGGCATCAAGTTCTTTCCCCATAAGTCAATAATCTAACAACTGCAAAAATTATATTTGAATTCTTGCTGTGTCAAGGAATTGACCATTCCATCAAAGATTGAACCAGAAACATAACAGTTGCAGACAACACCTAAAATTGGGTGAGCCATTAATAATTATTCCGAATATGCATACTTGTCAAAGAGAATGTATACTTATTCATTCTAACATAATAAAAAAAATACGAAACATTATCGAGCTCAATCTATAAAAGAACATATAAATGATCACTGCAAATAAAATAGACAAGACAAACACTAATGAACCCGGAATTGAAAACAACCTCATCATTCAAATCCAAATACCACCTTTGAGTGTGAATCTAGTCTCACACTAAGTTGAAGATGTTGAACACCATCTGGGTGGTATAAATACTTTGAATTAAAACTATATATAAGTCAGGCAATTATAAGCACAACAATTCTGGAAAAAAAAAATCTTTCCAATAAAATAGCCAAGACCAACAACAGTTACCCCAAATTGAAAAACAAACCCATCAGCCAAATCAAATATCACCTTTAAAAATTCAATCTTATCCTAAACGGAAGAGACGAAAGGGTTTTTTCTAATCTTCCTTACTTGCCCAGAGCCATTACCATTGCAATCCAATCCACACCCACACTGCGGACAAACCTCGAAATTATCAAGGGGGAAGTTCGCAGAAGCAATGCCCACCGAGAACTCAAGCTCATCACCACTCCTCACAACCTCCACAATGTTAAGCCACAGAAAAAAAACCTTCACGCTGATACCATCCAAATTTGTGAGCTTGTCTTTGGATATATGGCCACTAATTGTTGATTTGTATTTGAGTTGGTACGAGCCTTCCAGAGAGAAACTGCAAGAATCGTTCAAATAAGCATTGAACTTGCCGGTGGATTTGTCGAGATCGTAGCCTTTAGCGCCTTTTGGGAGTATACCCACGGGAAAATTGTAGGATTGAAGGGCTTCGTAGGGTGTGAGGGTGGTGTCGCCATCATCTGCCGCGACGATTGTGACGGAGAGGAAGAGGAGAGAGAGTATGAGAGTGGTAATTGGAGACATTGTTCTAGGTTCCGGTGTGAATGATCTGTTATCTTTTTCCTGAGAGTTGATTTGGGTTTTAGCATAAGAATTTTGTAATTAATAGAAGATTTCGAGGACGAGTGTCGTGATAAAAGATGAAACAGCGGATGTAATTACGTACGTAATACGGGATTTGTTAGTTTGGTTGCCAGCAAAATGTTGGGTAAATTACACTTTATCCCTCTGAATTATTATTTTTATTTTACTTTGTACTTTCAACTATAACATTTTTTATATTATATCCTAAAGTATAAGTTTTATTTCATATCACTCCAATAAATAATGAATGTGAATGCGAATGGTCTGTACTGCCAATAAGCTATTGCCTATTGCGTATGTACAGAGCAAAAATCAAGAAAAATATTCATCCATTATTTTGTTCTTTATAAGATCTAAATTTTCTTTCTCTAATTGACCTTATTTTTTTTCTTTTTAGCAATCATTTAATTACAAAAAAAGTAAAATAAAGTGGTATCAAGCACATGGAGGGAAGTTCTTTAGCGTTTCTCTTCTTTCTTTGACAGATTTTTAAGTTTGTTGTTATTAATTTGAGTTATATGAAATAAAATTGATATTTTAAATTATAATATGAGAAATTTTATAGTTAAGAGTATAAAATAAAATAAAGATAATAATTTAAGGAGGTAAAGTGTAATTTACTCTTTGGTTGCCAGCAAATGGTGCTACAAATCTGTGGGAAAGCCGGTCGTTTGGATTGGTACGAGAGAGTAGCCACTGGACAGAAAATCCAAATCTCAAAACGACAGCGTCTGATTGAAGAGAAAATATGCAATACTGCCTTGATTAATGACATCATATCAACAATTAATAATAAAATTTTAAATGAGTAGTTATTGGCTTATATGTGAAAAGAGTGGATAGTTATTTTTTTATAATATAAAATAAAATAGGTTACAATAAGCACATTGACGGTCTCTGACGGTATCATATAAACTCATTCAATGACTACCAATATTCATCACTTAAAATCATTCACATTGCACCGTGTTTTTAGAAACGGGTTACACCTAATTTGCTTATATTGCCCGATAGTTATTAGCTTGTATGAAGTTCACTTTCTTATTTATTTGTATGTTATTAATTAATGATACCAAGTGATAATATTTATGCATATATATAGTTAGTATAAAAAACTTACAAAAAAAATTATTGTATTGTTTGAAAGAAAAGAAAATTATAAGAAATTTTTTTAATTGTCTAAATTATCCTTAATTATATTAAATTCATCTAAAGAGGAAAAAATATTAATTATAATTAAAATTTTCTTTTAATAAAAAATGTGATTCCTAACTTAATTATGGGACAAAGATAAGTTTGAACCCGAATTTTTAGGTCAAGTTTTATGATTAATTTAACTAATACCAAGTTTTTTCAAAATTAATAACCAATTGAATATTCTATGGAAAGTAAGGGTAAAATGAGAGTTTACATTATAGACCATAATTTTCTTGCTTTTTCTTGTATTTTTTGCAAAAATAAATAAATAAATAAATAGTTGTGAGAAAATTTAAGTATAAAATAAAATTATTTTTTTCATCATTTTCCATTTTATTCTAATCAAACACATGAAAATTTTCAAAATTTTCTCTTTCTTACAACCATTATCTCGCTGATTCAAATTTAATTTACGCATTATCGGGTGACAATTTGAAGCCATTACTTTTGACATTGTAAAAAAAATCGAAGCCATTATTTTGTTAGTTTAGTTAATAATATTGTTGTTTCATGGGTTTGGGAATTTCATATATTTTTCCTCTTTTTTTTTTGTGTTAAAGGATGAAATTGATAATCAAATTGGTTCTGCGATGCTTGTTAGCTTCGCAATGTGTAATGTCCAAACTTCTGAACTGTGAGATTACCAGATCACACCTTAAAGATCAAATTTTAAAAAATGCACAAATTCAGATGATACGTGGAATAGGTCTAAATAGAATTAAAAATTTTAATAGATTGTTTAAGTTGTAATATAAACTAGTTTTAAATTCAGATCTCCAACGTTTGAATCTTAACAATTTTTTAGAAGGTCAGACCATGACATGAATAATTTATTTATCATGAATATTTTAATTTCGGTATGGATAACTTATTTTTAACCAGACCAAAGATAACATTAATCATGGTACACGTAAGTCCGACCCAAATATCCCTAACCATTAAAAAATAAAATAACACTATTAGACCCCCACGTTCTGTCCGGTGGAATCATGCCCATCTCTACCTTACAATAGATAGGCATATCTATATATTTATATTTATACTACTAATAAATAAAAGTATATTATCAAAAAAAACTTTGATCGACTACTTTAACCCTAAAACAATATATAAAGACATTACTAATCTTATTTAATTTAGAACTCATATTAATAAGACTTGATTGATGTTAAACTTTTAATTTGACAACTTTACTCTTACAGTATTAATATAGAATTCATATTAATAAAATTTTATTAATATTACACATATTCAAGCCTTTCATATTATTTCTTTTAAAAGATAGAAATTAATAGTAAAAATAATTAAATTTACTTTTATTTTATGTTTATCTATTTTCATTAATTGATGACAAGTTTCTGAATTTTCAAATAAAATTGCATAAATACATTAGAGTCATATTTAATATAAGATTTATTTTAATATAATTTGGATAAGATTATCAAACCTTGACTTTTCATTTTCTTCTCTTTTATATTTTAGTTTTAATAAATCCTCTTTAATTATGTTTATTGGCAATACTAAAAACTATTTTATTTGTATTGATTAACAATGCTATAAATATATTCAGTATCACATTAAATTACTTATTACAACTTAACTTTTTTTTTTTAAATTTTCACAATCAATTGTTTATAATTAAATGACCACCATAACTTAAAATAGTTCCCTTCATATTTTTCATAATTTAATAAGTGTCTACGATATTTTTTAATTATATATACCCACATACTATAAAATATATTTGTACAATTACTATGATGTTACAAATATAATTTTTCTAAATAATTAACTTCAAGTGAAAAGTTATAAACTTTAAAGGTAGAGGTTTATAAGAAAGTAATTCATCAAAACTTAAAAGAAAATAAAACAATAAAAACTAATATTCATTCTATAAATATGTAGTATTATCTCCATTACAAATTATACTATAGGAATATCCAAAAGGTTAGATTTATAAGTAAGTATTTGATATTATATTTATTTAATTATTAGGCCATGTGTATTGATCAAATTTGTCACACTCGCATGCACCCCACCCACCTATATTAAGTAATTTTCTTATTTTTGACAATGGTGTTCTATTAAACCATTACATCAAGACATCATCATTCCCTCTTGTGCACATTATAAATTCCACTAAAAAATAATTCCATTATGCCAATGCAACCATAAAACCATGATACAGGCTACAGCAAGCCCCACTCAACATTCATCTGCTAAACGAGTGGCATTAACCCTCGCCTATTTTTTGCAGTCGACAGATTTTTTGTTTGTTTGAACTTTCTGCTTCCGGAAGTCCTTAGAAAAGATAGATCGTGACTTGGCAAGAAAGCTTTTGAGCTGGCTTTCAACGGGCTTTGACGTTGTTGAGCTTCAAAGCATTCTTGCTCTCTTTGCAATCCAATCCCAGAACAACGGCTCGAAAAGGATCGTGAAATGGATGTGTCGGGTTCAAAAATCTCTACTCCTGCCGCCGCCGTAGGAATTGTGCACAAATTTATCATTACTTGAACTATGCATCGGTATTAGTCCTCGGATCTTCTTAATATACTCATCAGCATATAACCATGCCTTTCTTGGCTGTTCAAATCATTTTGATAAGTACCCCTATTGTACTGTTTAGTTTAGAAAAATATAGAAGCCAAAAGTTTCAGGATGAAAAAATAGATGCGATGAAGAAAGAAAATTAACTAGAACGACAAACAGTGATCCTCAAAGTTCAAGTCTGTTTCTCGAGAGGGACTATCCAAAACACACGAGTGGATTAGGTTAACTACTGCAACTGAATGTTACCTGCAAGGTATGATCTTGCCCATCTCAAGACACACGCAAGCTTTTGATTAAAAGAATAGCAATGCAATTTTTCCATTGAATACGCAACATGTCATATAGAAATAACAGAAAATCCATTGACATGGCAAAGAATTGAATACAATACCAGCAAAACATTATAATGAAAACCATACACACAAAAGGAAATTTGCACTCTCATGATACAATCAGACAACATAAAATTTGCAGCTAACCATTAGAGATCTTGCCAATTACAATCACATAATTAACAGAGGTCAAGCGAATGGTACCTGTGATTAGGCATGTATATAGAGTTTGGAATGAAATCAATTCACATCCCTGAGTCTTTTTATCAATGAATCCAGAGATTTCTTTTTAGGATTTTGCTTGGATCCCCTGGATCCAAAGGTGCCAAAGAGCCGATCTGAAGGATCCCTCAACTTCTCTGAAATGATCACTACTTTCCTGTAGTCCAGAGCATTAAAACTTCTTTCCCTGATTACTGGATTCAGAAAATTCTCTGGATGATTGCTTAAAAGCAAATTAATTAGTTGCCTTGCCTCAGCAAGTGCTGTTTTCAGGTCATTTGCATCTGCATCAGATAAAAGAGAAGCTTGATTCTCCGCAAAGGATTCCAACAACCGAATATCTATGTCAACACCCATGATAGCATTCACAGTAAACCTTTTAACTGATTCCCCATTTAAAGCCCCAACAATCAACTCCGATATGTGAGAAAGAACATCCTGCAAAACTCTTTTAAGAACTTGAACTGGTAATATTTGCTGAGCAGTTGAAACCAAAGTTTCCAGAAAAATAATCACCTCATTCACATACTCATTCCCACCCTGTGGAGCCTCATCAGCCATCCAGTTAACGTTCTCAAGCAACATCATAAACCCATCAACCTTTTGTTTAAGCAAACCAGCGAGCATCTCTTCAGCCACATCCCGGGCTGTGGTAAGTGGAAACTGCCTCCTACCCCTCTCAGCAATTCTTAATGAAATTCCAGAAAGCTGTGCAGCATGACGAAAGAAGAAATCACAAGCACGCTCAAACACGGCCATATTTGCTGCCATTTGCATCGCCTGAGTGACACCATGAATTGATGAATTAATAAGCTTCAACAGAGTCCCACCCAAGACCTCAGTCAAAAGCCTGTCCAAGTACTTCTTCACAACATCATAGAAATCAAGCTGGCCACCATATGACATGAAACTCACTGAATCCTCGATAAATGACCTAACAATACGACAACAATCCGGCACAGTAGAAGAAAACGGAGCAATGTAGGGAAATGCCGGTATAATATTTGAAGTTTGTATCTGAAACGAGAGCACATTCATCGAATATTCATACTCCTTCTTCATATACATCTGCTCAAACTTATCAGCAGCAAGAGCCTCAGAAATTTGTTTTCGACAATCGGACAACAATAGCTCATGATATTTATCTCTGTGCTTACTCAATACATCAAGCAAAGCATCGACAGGGTACCCATATTGACGCAATGTCACTCCAAGCAAACTCACATAGTCCTTTATCAACAACAAATGATTTGCGGTTTGCATTCTAGAAAACTGATCTTCTAACACAGAACACATTTTACTCATAGCAGTATCCCACAAATTTTCCACTTCCATTTTCGAAATCAGACTACCACCAGTTCTCAAAACTCGATCTTCAACAATGAAAAAACCGGCAATTTGAGCGAAAAATGTCTGATGAGATTCAAGAAAAGGAGTCATCGAGGATACCTGGAAGTCCGAAGTCAATTGAAGCTTCCGATTCTCGAAGTAGTACTGTTTGAACCGATCTTCAAGCCCCAACGTCTGGTGTATATGATAAGCCCTATATAACGGCGTCAAATCAAACCCCAACGTTCCACTCCCACCGTTAACATACCCATCCTTACCGTAATCTCCGATCCCGTTAAGTGCGTCATCTTCTTCTTCTTCTTCCAAAGCATAAATACAGTCTCTGAGACTGAGTCGGCTCTGTTCTTCGGCTTGTCTTTGCTTGATTCGCAGCTCTTCTTCTCTCTGCCTCGCAGCCGAGGCTTGTCCGATCGCCAGTTGCCCCAAATTCCTACTCACTATTCGGATCTCCACAAGCCAATCCCCAAATTCCTTGTTAATTCTCCGTTCGATGTGAGATCGAATAGCCGGAATCTGTTTGTCCAGCATTCTCCGAAGCGTAGACGAAGGCGTTTTGCTCTCAAACCCTATCTCAATAGAGTCAACGCACTTCAAAGCCATGTAAAAGTTATTCTGAGAGAGATGGAAATTAGCTCGAGAGCAGAGTTCCATCAGTTGGATACAAGTGCGAAGTGAATCGATCGCGAGAGTAATGTTTTGGCATTTGTTTCGAGCCTCGACGAAGGAATCCAGGGAGGTCAGGAGAGGAACAGCGACGGCTTGGAGTTGAGTGTTTGAATTGGAGAGAGACGATTTGAGGGACTCGACATCGGAGAGGAGGGAGCGGAGGTCGTCGACGGCCATGATGAAGTCCTGGTAGTGAGCTTTACATACCTCCTCGATTTCGGACTCTTTGGATCTGGAGAAGTGGCGGAGGTGGTTGAGGAGAGTCTCCGGATGACCGGCGGCAAAGGCCTTGCGGACGAATGGGCCTAAGTCCTCGCCGTTGCAGATGGCGGAAGAGAGAAGGAGCTGGTCTAACTTGTCGGCGGAATCGCCGTTCTCGGTGGCGGGCGCCACCTTCCGTCGGGTTTTCGAGGAGTTCATCGTCGGCTTTGAGGTTTCTTAACAGTGAATTAACTGTAACCGCTATGGTAACGGACTATGAACGGAGGGGATATAGGGTAGAGAGAGAAAGAAAGATTGTGGAGTCGAAGTTTGTGGGCGATCTTGGCGGAATTGTGTCTGAGCTCTGATGATTCAGCCGTGAACGCATGACGGAGAAATTTCAAAGGGTGGTTCCAGGGTAGGAATTATTCTCAAGATCAGATCAGACCAAAATAAATTTTGAAAAAGTAATGGGAAAAGTACACTCACTTCTCCTAAATTTATCGTTTAATCACCTAAATTTCTTGAAATTTAAAATAATACACTCAAATTTTTAAAATTTGTACGCGTGTAACATTTAGGAGTTTATATAACATTACGAATTCATACTATGAGGTATTGTTTCTATTACTCCTATACTATATTAATACACTTTAAATTTATGTAATTTTTAAACCTTAATTTTTATTCTGCATACGTTATTTACGCTATAAATTTGTGTAATTTTAAAACCTTAATTTCTATTACTTATATATTATTTTGTTACACTATATTGATATATTTTAAATTTTTGTAAATATACTATAATCATATAATTCTTGAACATTTTTTTCTATTGGTGATCGCAGTTGATTTTTTATTGGGATAAATCATATGTATTTGATATTATGATTGTGGATGTACAAAAATTAGACATTTCATAAACCTTTTAGTCTCGTACTTTATTGATACACTTTTAAATTTTAACTTCATATGAATTCATATTGTAAAGTAATTTGATGTACACCATTGAATTATGAATTAAACAAATACATTGCATTTGTTAGTCTCGAAGAAACTATCAAGAAAGCAATTTACAGGAGAAGAAGAAAACACAATTTAGAACAACAACCATTGTTGTATTATTTAGTATTCAAAAATAAAACTGTAAAAAAAATTCATAAAATACAAAAATATTAAATTAAAAAAATAATCATATGAAAGATGAAAAGTTAATTAAAAAAGTGATCACTCAACACAATAAGTAGAAATGAAAACAAAAACGAAAACAAAAAATGTGAAGAAAAAAAAATTTGAAACTAACAATCGGTCTGTGAAACGAACAAAATAAAAAAAAAATGAAAGAAAACATAAGTTCAACTTGATAATATATGAATGTTGTAGAAGAAAAAATACGATATGTTTGAGTTTTTACGTGTTCGTTGAAGAATAATAAGAATGATAGGATTGAGTTATTCCAAACGTTAATGGTTGATAGTTTAGAGAAGAAGAAGATAGATGTTTATTGACAACGATAATGACAAAAAAATTTAAAATTTAAAATGACAGAGATATACACAATCAACGTTATATCCAAATCTTGTGATAATATAATTCTTCTATTATATTAAAAAATCTTTAATACAATAAAACAAAGGGTTTTAATAACAAGTTGTATTCTAAAAGATCACTTAAATCTCAATTTATACCCTTAAAATTTAAAAAATCAAGTTATACCATGAAAGAAATAAATTCGTATCAATATGCACATGGGGCTAACTGTCATCCATTTTGTCATTAACAAAGTTTGAACTAATTATAAATTATACCCTCAAAATAAGGACTTAATGACCTAACATTAAATATAAATTTAATTAACATTAAGTATTAACATATAACTTTTTTGAAGTCAAGGGTTTAAGTCTCCTTCCCTCTTCTCCCTCCCCTTCCCCCCAAAAAAAAATTATCAAAGGGCCTTTGGTCAAATGGTATTCCTTACCTTGTGAAGGCTTTTCCTTCTTAAGGTCAAGGGTTCAACTCCCTCCTCTCCTTTTTCTCCCCCCCAAAAAAAAAAAAATATAACTTAACATTAAGAGCTATATATTTTTTTTTGACAAATAACTCTAATTTCGTGTATTTCAATTTTCTTTTTTTTTTTTGAAGGGAAAAAAGTGGGCTAGTGCACATTTTAAGACATATTAGGCTGGCAGTAAACTAACTAAAACATTGGGTGTGGAAGTTCAGTTGGATGTGTGAAAGACCATCGTGTCCTTACTTTTCCTCAACAGTAGTGGGATACGAATTTGGAAAATGAATCAACAAAAAGTTCTCTTCCACTGAAAGCGAAAAATCAAAATTGCAGTTATTTAGGATTTTGAAATGCAAACGAGAAAAGGGGATATTGAGTGAGTAAATTTGTTTCCATGAGAACAAATTTGTCGATTGTCATCAACTAGCGGTGGTCTCATTTGCTGAACGACTGAAGAACACTTCAGTTTGGTGTGGAGGATGGTCGCTGGCATCAATCAGCGACGACCACTAACACATAAGAAAACAGAAAAGAGTGGTTCATTATTCCATAATCTTCAATCAGGTAAAAATTTGGGCCTTTTTTTGTAGTAGATTCTTCCCCAAAATTTTGTTAAACCTAAGCAATTAGAAATATTACTTGTCATATTTGAATGCTTAAATGTAAATTTCGATGTAATTACTGTGTGATATTTTCAAATGCCCAAATTTTGATCGTTGTAAATATGCATTTCTTAATCGATTAATACGTTTTTATTGCAATTAGATCATTAACAATTCTGTATTTTCTTTATTATTAGAATTTCATCCAAAATGTGATGAATGCGTCCTACTACTGTTATTAACCTAGTAATATTGCTTGGAATATGAAAATGTTGTCATGTGTATCGTAGTGAATCCCTTTATTTATTTTTTTTAAATATGACATTCAGAATGTCATGGTCACAAATTTCGTTAATATAATGAACAACAGTAGTTCATATTATACTTGTGGGATGTTTTTAATACATGTGTAATTGTTTAAAGAGAATAAATGTGGTTAGTTGGATGATTTTGCATTCATAGTCTACTAAAAACAAATGTTAATTGGGAGTTAAGGTTGCTCATTCTATCAAATGCATCGTTCTTATGAATGTTGGGTGAATGTGTTCGTTCATTAAGACCTTACACTATGAAAAGAACATGGTTTGCAGACAACACCACAATTGATTAAGTCATATTGTGGAGTCATTATTTTGTGTAAAAATTTTGACGATTCTCATTACCAAGTAACTCTATTTTATCACTTTTAAAGTTATTCAAATGCTACATGAATTTCTTAAACCAGAATAGGCAAAGAGATGAATAGACCAAGGAAAGAAGAAAAACTCAAACCTCAATACTAGTCAAACATGCAGACCATAGTTAGGGCAATAGATGATGTTGTCTTAAGTGACGAGCATAAGTTTGCATTGTAGAAGACACATTTCTGGTTATTGTTTGAAAAAATAACATATAAAAATGTAGACAATGCATGATGTAGTAAAACCGACAACAATGTCTGAGAAATGATATTGTGTTTCAATGAAAAAACATGAAAATTTCAAATTGGTGGGGAAGAACTGAGATTGGGTAGGAGTGATGTGAAACTTATATTTGCAATAGAAGATGGAAATGAGCAGGTTAATGCAACCAGTCAGGGTAAAAAGTTAACATCATTTATCAAATGTTGGTTTAGACAAGATAATAGATTGAATTCAACATTGATAAAGAGCAAGCTGAGACATTCAGTGGTAGGTACAACTCAAACGTATTTTGATGATGTTGCAAGACAGTTTTGTCTACTCTTTTTGGTATTCATTTTTTCACAAACACAAGAAAAACACTTGGGTAGGGGATATGTTCCGTACGTTGAGAATTTATACGAAATTAGAAAATATGATTGGTGTCGTGCAATTCACGGTGCACTTATATCATCATTGAAGAAAAAGGTGGATATACCTACAACAATCATTGGTTGCGTTACCGGTAAGTAGTTTGTATGTAAACCATTTGAATCTGATTAGTTACACTAGTTATTATTTTATGGTTTATATATGTATATTAACAATCTAGAAAAAAATACAGTTTTTGATTTGTGAACGGACAACATTGATAATACCTGAGATGCCAAATATATTTCCAAGATTGCTGAAATGAATTTACAAACTCTTCCAAAAGTAATGAGACAAAAGAAGCTGAAGACGCTTGAGTCAAAAGATGTAAGAGTGACATTTTGTTGTGTCATTTCTCCTCATTATTATTTACTCTTATTTGCACATGGTGTGACAAGTGACACCATTGCAATGTTTACACACATGTCACAGTGTCACACAAATGACACATTATCATTTATCTTGTGAATTTGTTTACATGTTGTTTATAGGTGATATGTCATAAGTTGAAAAAAACAAAGGAGGACAAAAAATTGCTAAAAAATAAAGGTAAATAGAGAGACAAAGAAATTGAATCCGATGGCGGTCCACATGCAAAGGGTGATTCAAAAAGTGTGGCAAAGGAAGAAGAAACACATGAAACAGGTACATGATGGTGGTGAAAACACTCATTGGCAGGAGTACGACACACTACTTGATGATAATTGATTACATATTGGATAGAAAATGAAGGACAATCATTTCAATCTTTTCTTGAAGTTGTTGTTTATGAGTCAAAATAGATGCATGGTGAGAGGAAATATGATACAAATGCTTCAAAAAATGACAAGCAACCAAAGTTTGATAAACAAGACATCATCGAAGATAGAGATGAAGAACTCAAAATTGTTGGAGACCTAAAGAAGAAAGATGTTGAGTACAAACAAAAGATCAAGGAGCTTTCAATGGAGAATGAAATACTAAAAATGACTATGGAAGACATTCTCGACAAAGTGAATAAAGAGAGGAAAATTTTCCAAGCTGAAATTCAAGCATCAAAGAAAAAAATTCAACAATTTGAAGCTGAAAATGAAGCATTAGTTGAACAAATAAACGAACAATCCATACATGCCATTACTCAAAAATACCAACAAACTTCCATTCTAACAACTATTCCAACTCAGCAATATACACCAACAAAGGGGTAAACATCCATGGTGAAGATGATCAAAGCAAAAGAAAGGAAAAAAGAAGACGATTTTGTATACAGTGAGAAGAAAATGGGGAAAAAATTCAAATGTGACATCAAGAAATTTACAAAGAAGAATGAAGACAACAAAATATGTGATAAAGAAGAATAAGCTATTGTCAACATTGATGAAACTGAGGAAAAATCCCCCATCATCAAAGGACAGTCTGAAAGGGACATTAAATAGTTGTGGCACGCTTGCAAATATTTGAGTCCAACTGACCTCAACAAGTTACAACAAATTCATGAGGCTGAAGGTTACACGTAAGTATCATCCT